TTTTTTTTCCCCAAATCTTAATTTTAATGTCGGTTCTTTTATATATATATATATATATATATGGTGTTCCATGTCTGCCTTTTCTCTCGTCAAGATGTTTTAAGACACACCCCTGTAGCCATAGCGTCATAAGAGGATAGGCTTGGACTTGGCATGTGGCGGTTGTAATATCAGGCGAATTGGTTGTGCAATTGGCAGTCAAGCTTTTAGCTGATTTATAGCTAAACCAGAGAGCTGGTGTATAGAGATGCCCGTAGTCATCCTGGGAAAGAATTTTAAGCTAACGAAAGTTGACAAATAAAAGCACATTCCTTTGTATCAACTATATATCACAAGAAAATTAATGTTGTTTCAAAGCCTAATGGAAAAGAAATGGCCACAAAATCAGCATTTATTGATCACGTGCGGTAGGATACTAAACTGGGGACATAGTATTGGAGGTGAGCGACAGTTAGACAATATTTCTACCCAAGAATATTCTGTACGAAGCCTGGATGAGGTTTTAATTTTATGCTCAATATTGGTTACGAGTCTGACAGAATGCTTGACAGAATGCTTGGTTCGTGTTTTTTTCAGTTTAAAAGTTATTATGAAGCAAGAAAAATAATAAGTTTTTTTTATAGATAAAGCATTCATTAAAATAATTTATATAAGTTTTAATTTTAGTTAAAATTAGTATAATAGTATGTATTAAATAATTTTTTATTAATCATGAATGTTTTTGTTCATAATGAAAAAGAGTTAATTTTTTTTATTTAAAATAATATTTTGGAAGTATAAAAAGTATTTTTATATGGCATAAAGTTTATAATTAATAATAAATCATAAAAAAAAAGTGATTTGTAGAAAGAGGGAAAGGAGAGGAAGATCAATTGAGAGAATAATATTGAGATTATATTTAATAGTTGAAGATATTTTGAAAAAAAAAATTAAATTAACATGTTTTTAAAAATAGAAAAGAAAAAGGTTTTTTCCGGAGTTTTCTTAAAGTTCTATTTTTAGATTTTGTTTTATAAAAAAGGTTTTTTAAGAGTTTTTCAAAATTTTGTTTGATTTCACTTCTACTTTTAAGATATAAATAAATTGTAAAAAAGAGTTAAACAAGCATTGAGTCTACTATGGTACATAGCAAAATTATGGGGTTCAAGGAGCATTTTATGATTAGTTTGGAAAATATCTAAATTTATGATTGAATCAAATACTTTTTCATTCTTGAAATATGAAAATAATAATATTACTTTATTAATATAATATCTAAAAAAGTTCATAAATTATTTAGAAAAATTTAAATGAATTTTTAAATTTTTGTTACATTCAATCAAGTTTTTATATTTTTATTTTAAGTTAAATAAATATTTTTATTTTTGTTTGGAGTCAAATAAATTTTTATAGTTAATGATTAATTTAATTAAAATATTAATTGTCATTCTTATGATGTTGACGTGACATATTAATATTTTATAATTAATAATATAATGATATATTGACATATTATAATTGATAATAATGTAACATATTAATTTGACATGATAACATTTTTTACATTAATGTCATGTAAATATAAAATAATAAGTAATATTTTGATTAATAAAAATTAATTAATAATTAATTATAAGATTTTATTTGATTCAAAATAAAAATATAAAAATTTGATTGAACATAATAAAAAAATAAATATTTATTTAAATCTTATTGAATAGTTCAACGGTTTATTCGAATATTATGTTTATTTTTTTATCTAAATTTATTTTTATAATATTTTTCGCATTTTATCGTTTGAAAACATGAAGCATAAATCTTATTAAAAGATTTAAAAATTGTATAATAAAATTAAATATTCTATTAAATTTCGGCAAAGTCCTGAAAACATAAATAGTTAGGAACAAAGAGTCCTTTTAAAGTTAACTAATGTTGAATATTTTAAGATGTTAACTTGTTACTATAAATAACAAGACAGAAAGTGAGGGGCGAGGGGGCAGTATTCCTTTTGTTTTGGAATGCTTATAAGATTGTCTTTGTCGATTGTCTTCCTTTCCATATAAGTTGGACATTTCATCTGTAGACTTCCACAAAAGAGCCCACAAAACATATAACAGCGCGAAACATTATGGATGTCCAAAATATTTATATGTCTAACTAACTGATATTTACAGCTTAGTAAAAAGTAAAACAGTAAAGTGGTTATTTAATAAATACAAGTGCGATTGTCTGACTACTCTGTAAGGATCACATGTGACCTCTGTTCATAATCTTCAGTGCCAAGCAACACCAGGACCCTGGTGTGAACAGTGAACTCCAGCCACCTATCTGGGCTGATAAACGACGAACCTTCCAAATTTATTTGAAAAGATAAAGAAGGTTGATATAATTGTGAGGACATGAGAAACAAGCTGGAGAAGGGTGAAGCCTTATCAAGTATCGATTAATAAGAGAAGTAGAATGGGGCCAGGCCAATCCAGTTAAAGCCGCCGCCCACGTTTTTCCTTTTATGTTATAATTTCTGATGGGAAGCTGCACGAACAAGATCCCACGGACTTGTACCATTGCCAGCCAAGGCATCAATCTCCTCAGACATAACTAATCCCTTACATGTGCCATGTAACTCTGATACTATGGGCAAGGTTTTGGCACAAAGATATGATGTGATATTTTCATTACTATGTAGACACCAATAAACTCAAAATTTTAAAATTTATAAATTTAAGTTTTCAATGAATTTTTTTTTAATTTTTAGTCAAAATAAGTATTTTAGATAAGAAAATTTATGTTTTGATTTATAAAAACATGTTAGAAACACTTTAATCGGTGCCAAATTGTTAAAAAAAATAAATAAAGAGACTTAAGAGGATTTGGAGTTTTAGTTTGTAAATAATAATAACAGTTTAGGTATTAAAGTGTATCAAAATGTTTTTAAATATGACGTGTAATAACTTTTTTTAACCATGGCGTGTAACATATTTTTGTACATGACGTGTAACAACAGTATTTTTTTTCAACTTGGCATGCAACAATTTTTTTTAACCATGGTGTGTAACATATTTTGATACATGACGTGTAACAACAGTATTTTTTTTAACATGCATTTAACAACTTAATCATGGAGTGTAACATATTTTTGTGCATGGCGTGTAACAATCTAACCATGGTGTGTCACACGTTTTTATATATGGCGTGTAACAACCTAACCATGGTGTATACATGTTTCTGTACGTAGTGTGTAACATCATAACGTGTAATTTCATTAAAGGTATTTTTGTCCAACTCGGTTAAAAATAGTTAAAATTATAAATGAGGTTATTTTTAAAAACATCTTATCTTTAAAGGTTATTTTTTAAAATATCCTTTAAAATTATATATATATGGCTCAATTATGAAATCTGTGTATGATATGACTTCAATGTTACTTGTTTCCTCTTGAAATGAATGTTTCATTGAACCACATCTTTAATTTTTTTTACTGCATTAAGAAGTTCTCGTATAGTGTTATCGTACTGCAATACAAAATTATGCAATGCGATTGTTGCTTTGACTGCATCTTTGGGCAAGATAGATTCAATCCAATACCAAGGATGATGCCAAACGACTAATTTCTACTTCAATTAAGCAATTGATGTATAAATTAATAAATTATTAATTTATTAATTAAATAATATCTCGATCAATTAATAAAATTTTATAATTTTAAAATATTAGTTTATAGAAGATTAATTGTAATTTTCTTTATTACTTATCATCTTTTAAGAAAGTTGACTTCGCTCTTGGATATTATATGTAATTTAAAAAAAATTCGAAAAATTTTATGTGTTTTGGTTTGTACATCTTTAAAGTAATTTTGTCTCTAAGGATCAATGACAATATACATTTAGTCTTAGGATTCAACAAAAGCATCAAAAATACGAAGACGGCAAAATTAAAATTAATATAAATTTATGACTATTTATCGAAAGTCATCATTATTATCAAAAGATCATATCATTTATAATTAAATTTATTCTTCATCAAAATTCACTATTTATTAAAGTTTTCATTTTTTAAATTTTGACCTAATAGTTATTTTTTTTATTTAATTAAAAAAAAGAATTCAAACTTTACTTTTTAAGTAAAAGGATCATGTATCAACAAATGAATCAAATGTTTAGATGTTACTTTTTTTTTATTTATTTTGTTTCAAATAGTTTACAAAAAAAATTTACATTATATTATTGAATAGATATCCTTTCAACTTTAATTGACAATTTGATAAGATTAATTGTTTTAACACACCCATATATATATATATATATATATATATATATAAAAGTGTTGAAGTGATTAATTAAGAAAAATATTAAATAGAAATCGAAATAGTACTTGATAAAGAAAGAAGTGATGATGAGAACTAAGAATAAAGAAGTAAAACTACATAGGTTGGAAGTTGGCAAAAGAGATAAGTAATATGGATAGCTTTTTTTTGTTATCACAATAATATCAAGAAAATATTATAAGATGAAAGGGCAAATAGTACTTCACCGTGACGATTTTGTATAATATAGTCTCCTTTATTTTTAAAGAAAGCAATTCATTTTAAAAATCTTAAGAAACTTTAAAAAAATATATTTGATTAATTTTTAATTCTATTTGAAGTGTTCAATTATGATTCCAAAATAATGTATATCAAATTTGTCCACGAGTCAGCCGTATCCGCCAAGTGTGTGGACTCTAGTGGAGTAAGAGGCTCGAGACTCTAATGATTGGTGTACTTTTTTTATTTTTAGGATAAAAAAAATTAAATATTGTAATTGTATATATGTTCTAGTTTTTCAATTTTTCGATTTATAAATAAAGATGTTCTTTTACGTGATAAACATGACTTTTAAGTTGGAATGGAAGACTGTGATGCCTACATTTACCAAAACAATAACAAACTAAATGAAACGATGACAAATAATATATATATTTATGAATATCAATTTTAATTTTTTTTAATTCTTAAATAGTTTAATTATAGTTTGGTATTTATATTTCCGAAAATTAACTTGGATATTTTATTTAAGATAACGTAAATAGTATAAAAAGCGACAGTTATTTTACATTTCTAAATTTCCCTCCGCCGGGGAAAATTTATTGAGGTTATCAACTAGCGCAGCCACCAGTTATCACGGTGGTTGGGGCTGAAAGTGCGGTAGTTGAATGTTAGCACTTCAACACCGGCTATTACTTTAGTAGGAGTCAAGAAAGTTCTGCAAATGGGACAAGTCGTGGAATGGCTGTAACCGAGCCATCTATCCAAGCAAACCTTGTGAAAGAGATGATTACATCTCAGCTCTCTCATCTCATCATCTTCTTCAATCTTGCATAGGCACACAGCACAGGCTTCTTCTTCTTCTTCGTGGTCGTCGTCAAAGCAGCCTTGCTGCTGCTTGCACTTGTATGTGACTAGGCCAAGTTTCTCAGCAACGCCTGGAAAGAGCTGCAGCTGTTGCTCCTGGTTGTAGTTGGGGAACAAGGAATAGTTAAGCAGCAAGTTCCAGGCCAATTTCAAATGGCTTACAAACCAAAGAATGTAATTCAGCATGGTGGGTGAGTTGGGGGAGGAAGTTAAGGGGTGGCTGAAGAGCTTGTTATTGTTTTTCGGGGGAATGGAGAGGAATTGCTGCAAAACTGGATATAACAATATTTCATGGGGGAATTCCTGGTATTTATAGAGTTGGAAGAGAAGTGGGCTGATGAGGTAAGCCGCGAGAAGAGGAGACCAAGACTCCGCGTTTGAAAATTAAGATAAAATACCCTCACTAAGTTTTTATCATAATTTTATTAATATTTGAAATGAATATTACGTCTCAAAAGTAATATCATAAAATATTTAAAATACTCTTATTCTTTCTTTATTTTTTTTTACTTTTATCTTTTTTCTCAAATTGATCGACAGTGCTCGCTTATGCTTGTTGGCCACCCACGACCGAATCTTACCACTTCTTGGCGTTGCTAGAAAACTAAATCTGGTGCTCTAGTGGCCAAATTTGGTCAGGAACGTTTGATCAATAGCTTGTTATGCTATTCATCGCCGTAGTAGTCCGTAATAAAGAAAATTTAGTGAGAGAAATAAATTTTATTTTATATAGTAGTAATTTTTAAAATTAATGAAGAGTACAATTATTGTAAAAATATGATCATGTCATTAAATTAATGAAAATATTGACAGATGACTAAGAGCAAGACTTAAATGTTTAACGAAAAATATGTTTTTAAAAGGATTTGTCCATTTCAAATATTAATAGATCTGTATGAAATTATGATTAAAACTTACGACACAAAAATATTTTATTAAAAAATTTATGATCAAGTATGATTATGTTACTTAATCATTTTTAAGCAGAACATGTTTGCTTAGAACGATTGATTTCGATGTTTGTGGACGAGAATAGATAGGCAAATGAACCTATGATTGGATATTTTGGAGCTTCTTATTGAGATTTTAAGCCCAAATATATATATGTATGTATGTTCATAAACTGAATCATATTCTACATTCTTCCAATCTTAATTATACTTTTTAATATTTTAAGAACACATCTATCCGTACCATTTTCAATCAAAAGATTTGACTTTTAGATTTTAAAACTGGACACATGAATAATCCTTTGAAATTTTTACTACAGTTTTATTTTCCACTTCAATCCTAATCATACTTTCTAATGTTTTAGGAATACATATATTTCGTACCCATTTTCTATCAAAAGGTTTCAATTTTAGAATTAGAGACACGAAACCCTCGAATATATTATTAGACTTTTATTAATTTTCATACACAAATTTCGATTGTTACAATTTTAATCTCAAATACTTAGGTTTTGTCAATAGCTTCCCCCACTTTATATGGTTGAAATAAATAGAAGAAATTAAAAAGGCCAATAAGGAAGTAAATGTCCTTATAATCATTGCCAAGCAAACATACTTTTATGATGTAGTGAAACTCATTTAAACAGGAAAAAAAATTACAAAAACTATTTTGAAATTTGGTTAAAATTATATTTACATTTCATTAGTTTGAAATATACTCACTCACCCTATTGATATTTGACTGAAAATACACTTAACCTTCTGAAAATTATAGGTGTTAATTATTGTGCCAATTTTAAACGAAAAGGCAAGTGTACCTCTTTGTTGTTTATTTCTCCATTTTATTTATTTTTTGTTTTTTTATGTTTTTCTCTTTTGTCTAAGACTTTTTATATTTAGTTACAAAATTATTAGATTTGATTAGTTATAAATACAGTTTAAAATTTTATTTAATTACTATTGAATTAAATTTTAAATAGGTTAAATTATAATTTCATTATGTATAAAATATATTAAATTATAAATAATTTTCACGTGGTTTTTTTGAAAATAAATTTACTCTTATTAGTTCGAAAAACATTCTTTATCTCTTTAAAAAATGTAAATTATATTAGATTCCGTTAATCAAACTAATATTTATTCTAATGTACTTTAAATATTAAAAATACCATCGTTTTGTTCTTTTTCCTTTTTTTTACTAAAGGTAAATTTGTGCCTTGCACCCAACCTGCCCAACTTATGCCTCTCAGGATGCGGGCCACCTATCAAACACATCACAACTCTCCTCCTCTGGGGTCTACGTGGTAAAATTTGGAAGTCCCATTGGAAGCCTTGTTCATTGGAGCCAAGTGTAGAAACTTCATTGGAGCTTCTTTTTATATATAACATAGATTTATCTCCAATTCTATACCAATAATTGTTTTTTCAAATTAATGGTAATTAATTTATTTTAACCAAAGATTATTTAATACATTCATCTCAAAGTTAATATATAATTGAATTAAAATTTTTTTGAAAATTATAATTGAATTAAATATAAGTTCAAAATATTTAATATGTTATTAAATTAGAATATTAACTTAATAATTAACTTAAGAATGAACACTATATATTATACTTTTGGAGGGTAAATGTATTTTCTATTAAATCTTAGGGGGATAGTAAAAAATGTTAAGATTAAAAACTTGTTTAGCTTTTTTTTTTTTAAGCTTAAAAGCTATTATGAAATTCTTATAAAAAATAATAGTTTTTAAAATTAAGTTAAAGTCGTTTGGTAAATTTACTTTTGTAAGCTTTTTTTTATAAATAAGTTGTTTAGTAAAATAACTTATATAAATTCTTATTTTGATTAAAATTACAATAAAAGGTATTTAATAAATAACTTTTTATTAATCATGAATTCTTTTATTCACAATGAAAACAAAAGAATGACATAAAGAAAATGAAAAATAAATTAGAAAGAAAAAAAAATAGTACTTGAATGTAGCTTTGAATTTTGAGTTTTTTTTTTCTTAATTTTTGTAAAAACAAAAAACTCCAGATTTCACTATTATGTTGTTGGGTCTTCTGTTTTTTTTTTTTTTTTTTTATGTCTAATAGTCTTTACAAGGAAAAGTAGAGGAGTAGGAGATCATGATTTACATGGAAAAGGAGTGATTTGCAAGAGAGGGAGAGGAAAGAGATCAATTGGGAGAGAATGAGGATTTTTTGAAAAGATAATGTTAAGATTATTTTTAATAGATGATGACCTTTTTGAAATAAAAAAAAATTCTCTTGAAATATTAGCGTATTTTTAAAAGAAGAAAACAGAGAGCTCCTCTCTTGAGCTTTTCCCAAAGTTTTTTTTTTTTTTAGATTTTGTTCTTTAAAAAAACTATTCTTTGTAAGAGTTTCTTAAAATCATGTTTAGCTCAATTTCTGTTTTTAACATATAAATAAGTTGAAAAAAAACCAAACCAAACAAGTATTAAAAGAGATAAAGTGTATTTTTTTTATCAAATCACAAAATACTTTTGTATTTTATCTAATTACAATTCCAAGACTTTGCTATCAAACTTTAATTAAACATTTGCAATTGGTCTGTCCAACCTTTATTACATTTGATAATTCAAGATTTTCAATTTTCTCTCCTGCGTTTTATTATTCCTATACAATCTATGATCAACCCATCAATGTTAATTATATCAACATATTTGATAAAGTATAATGTTCAAATAAAATTTTAAATTATTTAAAAAAATTAAATATTTTTTTATTCTTTTATTGCATTTAATCAAAACTATATACTTTTACTTTAAGTCAAATAAGGTCTTATCACTAATGATTGATTAATTGTCATTAACAAAAATATCACTTATCATTTTATATCCACATGACACTAACATAATATTAATGTGAGATGAAAAATACCACATAGTTATGTTATTATATTAAATTAGCATTTCAATTATCATTAATTATAATATATCAACATGTCATATTATCATGAAATATAAAATGTTAACATGCCACATCAACGCTATATCAGATAGAATGATAAATGACATTTTGACTAAGTTAATCTTTAATCATAAAAGCTTATTTGATTCAAAATAAAAATATAATAATTTAATTGAACGTAATAAAAATATGAAAACCTATTTAAAATTTTCAAAATAGTTTAAAATTTTTTTAAAATATTATACCACAAATTAATAAATGAACATAAAATCAGATGAAATTCACTTAGGTACGATAAGATTTTGAATTACTCAAAACTTAAAAATTCAAAACCTTCCTCTTCGGTATTGGAACAAAAAGTCTCTTAATGGGGAAGAGAAAACAAGGTTAAAAGTTAATTGTTCAATGTAATAACTTTTTCCTTCTTAATTACTAAGCTAAACTGATTTTTTTTTTCTAAATAAGTTAAACTGAATTCCTTTGTTTTTTTTT